CCCTCTTGTTTTTGTTTTTTGGTGAGGCATTCAGGGTTAAGTGACTTGCCCAGGGTCACACAGCTAGTAAGTGTCATGTGTCTGAGGCCAGATTTGAGCTCAGGTCCTCCTGACTCCAAGGCTGGAGCTCTATCCACTGTGCCACCTAGCTGCCCCCCACCCTCTTGTTTGGAAATGTTATTAAAACATCAATTCTCTAGTGCTTTCTATAAAAGTAGTTTCTAGTCTTTATGCCTTCTTTTGTCCCAGTGAAGAATTCCTATTCCTTTTCCATATTTACTTTGGACAATTTTTCCTTACTCCACTTATACAGGGAAAATTTTGAGTTGATATAAATAAGATTTATGTCTTATTTATATCAATAAATTGTTCATATATTTGTATTTGCAGTTTTCAGTTTACAAATCAGTTGCATTATATTTGATTTGATTTTCAGTTCTGAATTCTCCTCCTCCCACTTCCCCCTTACCCATATATTGAAGCAAGAAAAACAACCATTACAAACATGTATGGTCAAGCAAAATAAATTCCCGGATTAGCCATATTCTCTTCCCCCTGCCCGCCACACACACACTGATGCTGTGATCTGTGCTCTGAGCCTCTCTAGAAGTAGGGTAGATGTTTGATCACAAGTTCTGGAATTGTGGTTGGCTATTTTGTTGGTCACAGTTCCCAAATCTTTTAAGAGCTGTTTGTTTTATAGTGTTATTATATAAATTGTTCTCCTGGTTTTGCTCACTTCACTTTGTATCAGTTCATACAAGCCTTTCCAGGATTCTCTAAAACCATCAAATCAGTTGTGTTGCACTAAAGGTTTATAAGGATTTAACAGCATTCTCAAAGAACAGATGTGATAAAATGGTGGTCAAGGTCTCAAGCTTGTTTACTACTATCTGTTTTAGAACTGTCAGGGGAGAGGTTAGTTTTAGTGACCCTTGGGGTGGTCTCTTCCAACTCTGTAATTCTTTGATTCTTTAACAGAACTACTGTGTTAGTGGCCTGCTGCTGTCTGGCTGGAAGTATTTCTCCCCCCACTCCCCTAAAGTTGTAGTAGGCACAGGGTGGAGCCAAGATGGCAGAGTGAAAGCAGTGACTTGCTTGAGCTCTCCCCCAAACCCCTCCAAATACTCATAAAAAATGGCTCTAAACAAATTCTGAAGCAGCAGAATCCACAAAAAGACAGAGTGAAACAAATTTCCAGCCCAAGACAACCTGGATGATTGATCAGAAAGGTGTATCGCGCCGGGCTGGGAGCGCAGCGTGGGCGCACAGGCCGCAGCAAACCTGGAGCAGGCCTCAGAGGACTGAATCACGGGCAGCTGTGGAGGTTTCCAGACTCCTCAATCCACGAATGCCAAAGACAACTTAGAAGGTCAGTGGGAAAAGTCTGTTTCTGTGGTGTCAGAGAGGAAGGCGGGCTCAGCTCCATTCCCCAAGAGCCTGGCCCGGGGGGGGGCAGCTGCTTCCCGAGCTTCCGGCCCACAGACTGAGGGGGAATCCAGTGGCTGATCAGAGAGGGATTGCAGGGATCTCTTTGCCAGTGCTGAGGCAGGAATCTCTTGCTTTGCCCATGTTTGGATCTGGGTCACAGTTCTGGGTGGCAGTGCTGGGGTGAGGAGGAACTCTGGCCTGGTGGAGCTTGTAGTGGCTGTGGAGAGGAACCCCTCCTCACAGTTACAGGACAGAAAGGAATACTTGTGGTCACAGGCCAGGAAAGGAGTAAACACCTCACCCCTTATCATACCACCTTGGAAGAACTGAAAATTTACAGGTCCCTACAAGTATCTCTGAAAACCCCTGAAGCTTGGGACAGTACACTCTCCACATTGGAAGCAGACTCTTACCTTAACAAGGAGTTTAAAACTCAAGTAATTGGCTGGGATCATGAGCAAGCAGCGCAAAAAGAGTCAGACTATATTATCTTACTTTGGTGAAAAAGAAGATCAAAATATACAACCAGAAGACAACAAAGTCAAAGCTCCTACATCCAAAGCCTCCAAGAAAAATATGAATCAGTCCCAGGCCTTGGAAGAGCTCAAAAGGGATTTTGAGAAGCAAGTAAGGGAAGTAGAGGAAAAACTGGGAAGAGAAATGAGAGTGATGCAAGAAAATCATGAAAAACAAGTCAACAGCTTGCTAAAGGAGACCCAAAAAAATACTGAAGAAAATAACACCTTAAAAAACAGCCTAACCCAAATGGCAAAAGAGGTCCAAAAAGCCAATGAGGAGAAAAATGCCCTAAAAAGAAAAATTGGCCAAATGGAAAAGGAAGTCCAAAAGATTACTGAAGAAAATACTTCCTTAAAAATTAGAATAGAGCAATTGGAAGACAGTGACTTTATGAGAAATCAAGACACTGTAAAACAAATCCAAAAGAATGAAAAATTAGAAAACAATGTGAAATATCTCATTGGAAAAAAACTGACCTGGAAAATAGATCCAGGAGAGAGAATTTAAAAATTATTGGACTATCTGAAAGCCATGATCAAAAAAAGAGCCTAGACATCATCTTTCAAGAAATTATCAAGGAAAACTGCCCTGATATATAGAACCAGAGGGCAAAATAGAAATTGAAAGAATCCACAGATCTCCTCCTGAAAGAGATCCCCAAAGGAAAACTCCTAGGAATATTGTAGCCAAATTCCAGAGTTCCCAGGTCAAGGAGAAAATATTACAAGCTGCCAGAAGGAAACAATTCAAGTACTGTGGAAACACAATCAGGATAACACAAGATTTAGCAGCTTCTACATTAAAGGACTGTAGGGCATGGAATATAATATTCCGGAGGGCAAAGGAGATAGGATTACAACCAAGAATCACCTACCCAGCAAAACTGAGTATAATCCTTGAGGGGAAAAAATGGTTATTCAGTGCAATAGAGGACTTTCAAGCATTCCTGATGAAAAGACCAGAGCTGAATAGAAAATTTGACTTTCAAATACAGGACTCAGTGGAACATGAAGAGGTAAACAGGAAAGAGAAATCATAAGAGACTTATTAAGATTGAACTGTTTACATTCCTGCATGGAAAGATGGTATTTATAACTCATGAGACCTTTGTCAATATTAGGGTAGTTGGAGGAAAAAAATTATATGTATGTATATATATAGATAGAGGGGACGGGGTGAGTTGAAGATTAAGGGGTCTTATCTGGAGAATAAAATTAAGGGATGAGGGAGGATTATATCTGGAGAAGAAGAAAGGGAGAGGTAGAATGGGGTAAATTATCTCACAAAAAAAAACCCAGAAAAGAAAAGACTCTTACAGTGGAGGGGAAAAGGGGGAAGGTAAGAGGGAATAAGTGAATCTTATTCTCATAGGATTTGGCTTAAGGAGGGAATAATATACACATTTGATTGGGTATGGAAATCTGTCTTACTCTACAGGAAAATAGGGGGAGAAGGGGACGAGAGAGCAGGGGGTGATAGAGAGGAGGGCAGATTGGGAAAGGGTGTAATCAGAAGTAAATACTTCTGAGGAGGGACAGGGTCAAAAGAAAGAATAGAATAAATGGGAGGGCAGGATAGGATTAAGGGAAATAGAGTTAGTTTTTCACAACATGTCTATTATGGAAGTGTTTTGCATAACTGCACATGTACAACCTATATTGAGTTGCTTGCCTTTTCAATGAGGGTAGGTGGGGAGGGAGGAAGAAAGAAAATCTGAAACCTAAAGTTTTAAAAACACATGTTTTAAAGAAAAATGTTTTCACATGCAACTTGGGAAATAAGAAATACAGGAAATGGGTTACAGAAGTCTATCCTGCTCTACAGGAAAGTAGAAGAGGAAGGGGATAAGAGAAGGGGGGGAGAGATAGAAGAGAAGGCAGACCAGGGGAAGGGGTATTCAGAATGCATGCCATCTTGGGGTGGGGGGAGGGGTGAGAAATTTGGAATTCAAAAGCTTGTGGAAGTGAATATTGAAAACTAAAAATAAATAAATTTATATTATAAAAAAATTAAAAAAAGTTGTAGTAGGCACAGCTACTGATTAACTTTCTTGCAGAAGGTAAAGCCTGTAGATTGTTTCTCTGTTTTCCTACTGTTGAGGTCTTGAAAGGGCTTTCTTCCCTCTGTTTCCACTTTTCGTAGAGTAGTGCTTGGCCATTTTGTATGTTTGGAACATTACTAAGTGGGATTTTTTTATTATTTGGGGAGATAAAAATATGTATTTTTTCAGATTTTCAAGGAAGTAATTGAATTTAGCCCATCTTTCTTCTGCTACATAGAGGTTGGCATTCTGTGGTTGATATGACACTACCTACGTTTTCCAGCTTTTGAAAATTGTTCTCTAAGCCTTTGTTCATGTGAAAACTTTTGTAGGTGAATTAGATTTATCTTATCAAATATAAAGGAAACATTTCATTCCATTATGTGAAAACCTTTTAAATGTTTTTTTTTTCCCCATCAAAAAATTAAAGGTATATAAGAAATGAACTTATAGAAATTTGGGTTGACTTTAGCTTACCTTGAAATGGTGGTAGCAAATATGTGGTAGCAAAATCACGTATTTGAAAGTACTTGGATACTAAGTAGAAAGTGAATTCAGTTGATATAGAATAGTAATTTTTATATCACTTTGTATAATTTTTGCTTAGGTATATGTTGAAATACATTCTTTCCCCGCCCCCTCATTAGAATGTGTACGCTCAAGGTCAGAGATAGGTTTTATTTGGTTGGTTTTTTTTAATCCCTGGGGCCTTGCACATTAGGTGGTTAATAGATATTTGTTGAATTGATGTATAGGTGTTAATATGTACAAACTCCATTATGAAAGGAACATACATGTGCATAAGTCCTTTTTGGAGTAAATAATCTTGTCTTTTTTAAGGAATCCAATTTAATCAAATTTTATCATTTGAAATTGTTAGTTTTCCACTTATTTTTAGAGGTGTACAGGATTGAATATTAGATGTCTCTTGGTTATAACAAGAACATCCAGAATCAGGTGTGTTGTTAATTACATTTGAAGGATTTTCTTGTGCTTCTTATTTTTAAAGGAAAGAAAAGAAAGGGAATGGAAGCTTAATAAAGAAATGGAAGAAAAAGCCGCAAAGGACCTAGAGAAAGAACATTTGCAAGAAAAAGCTAAAGAAAAATATAAAGAATGGTTAAGGAAAAAATTGGCAGAAGAACATGAGAAGAAAAAAAAGGAAAAGGTGTGGATCCAAAGTGGTGCAGACGGGTGTATCATGAAACCCAGACCCGAATCGTGGTTTTGCTGTAAACACACAATAATTGTGTGAGCTTTTAACATTCTGGGCCTCAGATTCCCTCATCTTTCAAACAGCTAGGTGATGTCTAAATGTTAACATTGTGATTTTTTTGACCATTCTGATTCAGTGATTATAACTAAGCACTCATCTCTTGGTATCCTTGTGAGTTTGATTTATTTGGAAGAAGATATTCAGACGTTAGGTAGTTTGCGTGAGATGAGTTATTCTTTGATGTTCATTATCTTTGAGTCCTATATTTAAGACATAGAAAACATTCTGCTTTTGAGGACCATTATGCTGCCTGGCATTTTGTGTTTGTTGAGTGTGAAGTTTTGTTAGGTTTAAATCAAATTATTTTAGGTTATTTTGGAACATTTTGTGGTATTATGTTATGGAGTTGTGTCATTATAATGGTCAAAGCAGATATTTTTTAAAAAGTAAATAGCAGTTTCCCTCTTGGGCTTGCTGACTTAAGTGTTACTGAGGAAAGACCCTTTCACTGTGTCCTAGGTGAGAGTGAATTTCACAGAAATCACCCTCAAATGAGTTATTGTTTATAGCTAATGAATGATTGAAATAGATTGCTAATAGTCTCTTAGGTGGAATGACCAAATCTCACATAAATTTGAATACTCTACTCTAAGAGGTCTTTGATTTCATCATTTTAAGGAAAAAGAAAAGCAGCGGCTTGCTGAACAACAGGAAAAAAAAGAAATCTCCGAAAAGAAGTTTAAGGAATGGCTGCAGAATGTGAAAAACAAACCTCGTCTCATTCCAAAGAGCTATGGTTATGCCAATGGGAAACTGACAGGTTAGTTCTTGTTCTCTGTGACCTAAATAAAGGCAAGTGAGCTCATGGTTAGGAGAGGAAGTTTCATGTTGTTTGTTTCCTCTTGAAAAAAATAGGAGCTTATGAAAAACAAACTTTTTATCTAAAATTACAATTTCAGCAAGCTAGCTATAAGATCTATATGCAATTACAAACTTACTGTTTTTCTGAATCAGAATTGGATTTCTTTTTAAAAGCATGTGTGAATTTTAAAGCAGTTGTAGAAGTATGCTTTTAAATCAGTGAGAATGTTTGATGATAAAAACATAATATAAAATTTGACATTACTTCCAGTTGGCCCATGAAGAGTTATTCTGCAGAGGTTTCATGTTTGCTACTCTTCTTACCCCTATCTAAATCAGAGCTACAGATTTCTTCGGGAGATTATTCTTGTAACTCCAAACACCAGACAGCCCATGAACCAGACAGAAAACCAGTTGCTCTTTATGCTTGGTCTGATTATAGATGGTGGGGGCATAGTTTCTTTGTGCTTTCTGTTGGAAGCTCATAACTTGCTGACAGCTGCCTTCACTTGTCTAAGTGATTTATTAAAAATACTCCCATTCTGTTGTGTTCACACAATAGAACATATTCCAGACTTTGTTTTGACCACCCTGGTGAAGTGTGTGTTGAAATATCTTCACTCTTGATGGGGACTGCCATTATGTGACTGACACATTCCTGCTGTCAGGGCGTAGGCCTCTCATGCATGGCACAGAGGTCATCAGTTACAGATACTGAACTGAGTTTACTTGTTTGGTTTCTACTTGTTTGAAGAAGGGTAATAATTAAGCAACACCAGTATAATCAGAGGAGTTAATGTTAGAGACAAAGCTTTGACTAGGTATCCCCTTACCAATCAGGACTTAATCATTAAATTAGTTAAATTGCTGGGTGGCTTTTCAAATGGATTTTTTCTTTTTAAGAAAATTTCTATCCATAGCTTTTTTAAAAAATATCACCTAGTTTTTTTTCTGTAAGAAATATTTATGTAACAATACTGTCATAATCATAGTAGCTGAAAGATAGTACATTAATTTAATGCTTTAATAAAAAAGCACTTTATATACATTATCTCATTTGATCCTTATAAAAACCCAGTACAACCCAGAGGTAGGTACCATAGGTACTATTATTATTCTCATTTTATATATTGGGATTTTGACACTTAGAGACTTTCAGGTGACGACAAGGTGAGCATCAGAAATAGAATTCAGCCAAGTTCCCCTGAACTCTCTGACCTGTATTCTTTCCGTCATGCTCCACTGTCTCTGCTCTAGCAATCTTAAGCTGCTCTGTGGTGGTCTTTGTATCCAAATCATGGTCAACTTTTTAAAAACATATTTTGAGTGAAATACATGAAAGGAGGGTGATTTTGGGCTTTGCATGGTATTTGCCATCTGGCCTTTTTTTTTACAGTTTTGTATTTTAGCTCTTAGGAGCCATAGTTTTATTTAATTGCATTCATTCATTGCAATAGGAACTATTGATAACTAATTATGTATTAAAATTATGGTAATGGAGTTAATCCTTGCTAATTTGAATGACACCAGTGTAGGCTTTAAGTAAATTTAGACAGTGTATATGATTTGTATTGAGTTAAATGGTCTGCATTATTTCTTTGTAAATTTTCAGGGCCTTACTTGTGAGACCTTGAGGCTAAAATCAGTAACATTTTCAAAGAAGAAAGTCAAGATAATGAAGGCTCTTTTCAACTTTAACCTTGCCAGTTTGGTTTTTAACTAACTCAATTCATATGATGTCTTGGTAGTAATATTTATTGGTTAAGCTCTAGGATGTCACATTCACTTAGCCCAGTGCATGGCACGTAGCAGGCACTTACTAATTGCTTTGTGACTGACTGTATTTGGACTGACTGACTGTCTTTGGAAAGCTGCATTATGTTCACATTCATACTTTTCCTAAATCAGACTGGTTTACGGTAAGCTATCCCCAGTTATTCCAAATCAGTGAGGCTTTACTTCTGTTGTGAGGTGCTAATTTTTAATTGTTTTTCCATCTGGTTCCTGTATACATTGGAAATGATTTACTATCTTTCTTGGGTTTTTAAACAATGAGAGCTTTTGGAGAGTAATCAGTCCATTTTTCATTCTTAGGTTACTACAGTGGAATTGCCTGCTCACAGCCAAGCTTTTGTAATCCAATCCCATGGAAGCCCATTTACATTCCTCCACCTAAGGAGTCGAAGACTGCTATAACTGTGAAGAAGAGCAAAAGACCTGTGTCCATTCCGCCTTACAGGTCCTCCTCTTTGGTCTTTCATAAAAACAAGGGCAATCTTTGCCTTGGAACTCTGTGCAGAATACAAAGATAGTATATGTACCAGATAGCCTAAATGCTAAAATACTCTCTTTAAAAAAAAACAAACTAGAACTATTTTTGTTACTCGGTATTAGCTTAATATTTTGTGTGATGATTTATCATTTTTATAATTGTTGGTAGGAATCTGCAAGTTAATTAAGGGAGACGTTTGCACTTTTTTATTTTTATAAATGTTTCAAAGTTGTGTGTTTGTAAAAATTCGCATGTATGCAATTAAAAAATATGTTTGTATTTAACTTGTTTTTGTAGAACTGTTTTGTAACACCAATAAAATCAAAGGATTGTTCTTGTGTTCTTCCACAATGCATGTTCTTAGGATTATGTGTAGCAATGTAATTAGAATAAATCTTGTAATAAATCTACTTATTCCAGATAACCCTTAGAAGAATCTTTATAGGATGGCATTTTATGAGAATCAGAAACTAGAGTTGTTGGTGTTTTTACTATTTCCTGCAAAAATTTTGTTTGAAAAAACAAACTACCAACCAGCGTTTACGGTTGTCCTGAAAACCAGAGAGATGAGGCTTCTGAGTTTTGTGAACTCACAGTACTGAGGACAGAGTTATTAAGCTTTCGATATCAGGGAGGACTTTAGAAAAAATGGTCAGTTGATGGTAATGTGTATTTAAACTTGGCTGAAATGATGTTTGTCTCTTAAGATGATATTGTTTTAAAAATCTACTCCCCCAAAAGCTGTGTCCCAGAATCATGCATTTTTACAGTTTAAAGTAAATTTTGCTAAGTCTGATATCACTGATCTTATTGATAAATAAATTGAGACCAACGATAGTATCAAAGGATTATTTTTAAAAAAACAACATAGTTTTATTAAAATATACAACTTTTAATCATTGTCTGATATTTTTTTCTTTTAGAAGAAGGGCATGGAATGAAAATCTGTTGTGGCAATTTAAAAATCAATAAGTTCTTGTCAAAGTGATACTTGCTTAGAGAATTGTTTCACAGCCCTGCTCGTGTCACATGAGCCCAAACTGGTAATTTATCTTCCCCAGGCGAGGCTATTGGTCCCAAGGAGCCTCCGATGTCCCCGAGGACAAGCAGAGCCTCTCTCGTTGCTGAGCTATGGGGTTCCTGCCATCAGAAATGCACCAACAGTCAGACAACCTTTGGGGAAGGATGAATGAGGGATGGGGTGACCGGCAGGTAGAGCCTAGTGGACAGAGTTGTCTAGATTTACTCAAATAACACAGGAGATGAGGAGGCTTCTGAGCAGCTCAGGGTGGTCTGGCTACTCCATTAACTTGCAGCTGATTGCTTTACAGGACTAAGTTCACCGGCTGATTGAAAACATCAAGTCTGCCAGTGTCTCAGCAATGTAAGTGTAACTCTAAAAAGCGTTTGCTATCATTAGTCCTAAAATGTGGCATGGTGAGAGTAGCGAGCAGAAGGCAAAGATATGCTGTTTGAGAACTTCTGGGTCTAGAGGGTTGACTTAGTCCCTGATGACTTTGTGCTGTTCACTGAATCAACACTTAATGTGTTTACCCACTGTGTGCACAAAAAGTGCCCGGTTCTGGAAGTGGTGCATGTTGTAGATAAGATGCGATCCTGCTCTTGTGGCACTTAGAGCTGACAAATCTCTAAAACATAACCATATCACTATTTTATCTCAGTATAGCAATAAAAAGTGGTAAAACAAAGTTGCAAGGGGAAAGGCAGGTAGTGAGCACAGGGATCAGGGAAGGCCTCACAGAGAAGGGAATCCTGAGTTGGCCTTTAAGGATGGCTAAGAATTGGCTAGGTCACAGAGTAGGAGGGTACCATGCCAGCAAAGGGAAGGCTGAGAATTGGAGGGCCTGTTGAGGGGATGATGGCAGTTGAGTTTGGCTTGAGGCTAGGGCCCATGGTGGGTATGGCTGAAAAAGCGGGGTAATGCTTGGTTGTGTGGAGAGATGAATGCTTGGTGGAGGAGTTTGGTCTTTATTTAGGACTAGTAAGGGGTCACTCAGGAATTTTGAGCTCATCAGTGACTTGGCCATGTGCATCAGGAAGTTAATCTGGCAATTGAATGAATCCTAGATTAGAGGGGAGGCTACTGGAATAGTTTCTGTGGGTCTGTAAAAGGGTTTATCCTGGGGATAATGGCATTAAGAACAGAGGAGATAGGGGCAGCTAGGTGGCACAGTGGATAGAACACCGGCCCTGAAGTCAGGAGGACCTGAGTTCAAATCTGGCCTCAGACCAAACTCTTGACACTTACTATCTGTGTGGCCCTGGGCAGGTCACTTAACCCCAATTGCCTGAAAAAAGAAAAAAAAAAAGAACAGAGAAGATAAAGGTAGTGCCACACTGAAGGTAAAATAATCCGATTTGGTGATGTGGAAAGTTTGTTGGACTTGGAGCCAGGAAAGACCTAGATTCACTTCCTGGCCCTGACACCTGCTGGGTGATGGTGGGCAAGGCATTTGATTTTCCAGAGCCTCAGTTTCCTTAGCTGTAAACTGAGGGTGATAATACTTCCACTACCTTTTTTCCAAGGGTTGTTACATGGAAAGTGCTTATACGCCACAAAACCCTGAATGTGAATAAGAGATTGGATATGAAAGGTGAGGGAGAAAGAGTCAAGTCTAGCCCCAAGGTTATGAATGTGGGAGAAAGGGGGAAAGGTGGTGCCACAGGGAGGAATAATTCACAAGGAGGAACATACTTGGGGAAAAGACAAGCAGGTTTCGATGTGTTGAATCTGAGCAGTCATCCAGATGGAAATGTCCTGCAAACAAGAGAGTTCAACAAAGAAGACAGATTTGGTAGTGATTTGTAGTGTTGTGGCAGTTACAACGACGGGATGGAAGGGGATTGCTAAGAGAAAGAACAGTGCGTGGAAGGAAAAGGCAGCCAAGGATAAGACCCATGGGGAATAGATACATTAAAGGATTGGGAAGGAAATAAGGCAGCAGAGGTGAGAGAAGGCATTCTTAGAGAGGAAGCCCTGAAAATGCTGGATCTGGGGGCAGGGCCTGGTTTGGAACTCGGGGTTCTGCTGTTTCCTTCTAGCACTGCTGACAAGGCGTAACTTGAGATGTCCCCACAAGGAACAGCAAGATGGACAATTGTAGCATTATAGTAAATGTGAAGAGCAGTCGTATAGAAGAAGACGGGGAAGGGAAGAAGAGGCCAGGGTGTGAAAGATTTTAAAAGCCAAGCAGGAGTTGACATGGAAGGGGAGACCTGGGCATTGAGGGTGACAGGTTGTGAGCAGCCTCAGTCTCTCCAAATTATACCACCACCAAGACCTCAAACAGATTCTAATGCTACTGATCTTTCAACTGCTCCCTTTGATTTCACACTCAACTGAATCTTGGCCCTCTTTGTGACCTCCAAGCCTGTGGCCCAACCCTGTTCAATCAGTTCGTCTCCCCAACTTTGACTTCACTTGCTTTCCAAAGCCATTTTGACCTCATGGCCATTCATTTGCTTTAATGTTCCACCATTTAGTATCCTAGAATTCTTTGCCCCCCGTGACCATCTCCCCATCTGGATGAATCCTCAGACTTGAGTAAATCCAACCATCTGGTTTCTCCACTTGTGTTCCAGGGCCTCTTTTGTAACTTGGGAGAAAGTTATAAAGTCAGACTTCACAAAGTTGTGATATCTAAGTTCAGCTAGGCTTCATGCTTCTGCCCCTTCCTTTCCCTTTACCCGTTTTTTAGTTTGTTCTTCACAGCATGGGATCTGAATTTTCTCTTGTTTCTACCTGCACCCTCCAACTTCATCCAACATGTGCTTCCTCAGCCCACCTGCCATCAAATTTCTCAGCATTATCCACGCTCTCCTATCCTCAGGTCACAGAAGAGGTATCTACTCTGCACTAAGGTCAGTCCCCTGATTTTAATTTCCTTCCACTTTTTCCAGACACGCCTCATATTCCACACATTCATTCTCTCTCTCTCTCTCTCTCTCTCTCTCTCTCTCTCTCTCTCTCTCTCTCTCTCTCTCTCTCTCTCTCTCTTTCTCTCTCTCCCCCTCTTCTCCCTCTCCTCCCTCCCTTGCTCGCTCCCTTTCTCTGTCTCTTTTCTCTTTCCTTTTTCCCTTTCTTCCTTCCTTTCCTCTCCTCTCTTTTACTCCCCTCCTTCCACCTTCTCTCTCCCTCATCTCTCTTCTTCCTCTCCCTCTTTCTCTGTCTCCCTTTCTCCTTATCCCTTTTTCCCTCTCTCTTCCCCTTCCCACCCTCCTCTCCTCTCTCCCTCTTTTCGTCCTTCCCCCTTTCCCCACCCTTTTCAGTCCTCCCTACCTTGTTTCTGTCTCTTCTTTCTCCTTTCAATTTCTCCCTATATGATAGCTTCTTCCCATCTTCCTACCAAGTCATTTCCCCTAATCTTAATTCTGCCCCGTCCAGTGACCATCCTGTTTCTTTTCCTCTCTACTACTCCATCTTATGTGTGCCTGATGCCTCGATTTTACCACCCGCTTTCCTCAACCTCTTACAGTGTAGTTCCCATAAGAGAATCTTCCTGGTCTTCCTCAATGCTGGAGTTATCCCTGAGATTACCTTCAGTTTATTCTGCACGGCTCTTGTTAGCGTGTTCTCTCTCCCATGAGATTCCTCAATGGCGGGATTTGTGTTTTGCCTTTCTCTATATCCCCAAGGCTTCATGTGGTACCTGGCACATAATAAGCACTAAATAAATGCTTCTTGACCGCAGTGGAGTTGAGGAATGGTGTGGTCAGGTTGTTAGAGGAGCCACCTTCATGACTAATGAAGTCCACAAGGAAAAGTGGGAAGCAGAGCGAGTACTAACGTAATTGAGAAAGCTGGAGAGCGAGTGACCTGGAGGCCAGTAGAGACAATGTTGTGGATGCAGAGAGTGGTGTAAATGGACCTCAAGTGAGGAGTCATTAAGACGCGTTTGAAGAAGGACGGTGAAGCATCAGAGTCTGAGGACATTGGGCCGCTAAGCATCCCAACAGCCATGCCGAGAGAACGGGGAAGGGCTATTGTGGAGGGGTCAAGCTTGGATTCGCTGCCCCTTCTTTTCAGAACATCTGTTCCCCCGCAAGTGATCAAGGAACACAACCTCTCAGAGAAAATCTCTCAGGTCACCAGACACTCCGGGCTGCATTGGCCTGTCATACAGGGTTTTCATCAGAGGGAGGCGAGGCAGTGCAGTGAACAAAGAGAGCGCAGGCCGGGAGGCAGGAAGACCTAAAGTCAAATCTGGCTTCCAACACTAGGCAGGTGGTCCTGGGCAAGTCCCTTCACCTCTGGTTGCCTCCATTTCCTCTTTGTGAAAAGGGATAATAACAGCACCTAGCTCCCAGGGTTGTTGTGAGGATCCATTGAGATAATACTTGTAAGCACCTCAGCACAATTCCTGGTAGATAGTAGGCAGCTAATAAATGGTTATTCACTTCCCCCTTTTGTCCTCACTCCAGAGGGCATAGCCCTGCACTGAAGGGTCATCTTAGAAACACTGACCACAAGCCCGGACCAACACTTTTAAAAATCATCTTCAGAGGGGGTGGAGATAGGGTAGTGCTGTTGTCTGTTTCTGGCAGCAGCTCACGCCATCTTTAAAATGCCATGATTGCTATTACTTCTGGATGCTAACCTGTTCCATTCCACCCCTTAAGGATGTCCCCCCTGACTTTCTGTATTCCATCATGCTAGAATGTATCTTATCCTTAGTTCAGGTTCACACTTAGAGTGGCTTCACACTCTAAGATAACTGGTTTCAAGTGTAACTGAGGCTTGTGAAAAAGGCAGTTTGGTATAGGAAGGGAACATTTGGTATAGGAAGGAAATATTAAGTGCCTACTTTGTGCCAGGCCATGACCTAAGTGCTTTACAAATATCTCTTTTGATCTTCACAACAACCCTGGGAGATAGGTAGGCAGGTACTACAATAGTGGGAAAAGCCCTGGGCTTGTCAGACAAGACTGGGTTTGAAATGCTATCTGTAATGCTCGCTTTGTGACTGCATGGAACCTCTCTGAGCCTCTACTTCCTTGTCTATAAAATGTATATAATATTATTTACAAGACAACACTTCATGGGGTTGTTGTGAGGAAAGCACTTGATTTAGTCCTATACACATTTGTGACTTATTGAAATGAGACCATTATAATCCTTTACAGAACACAGCTCAGAACAGTTTGACAGCTTTTAATTGTCCAAGGAGTTTTCAAAAATCAGTTTAAATTGACACACTACTTGAGTTAGAAAATACATTTTAAAAACTGAAATCATTTGAGGGCGTGGTGGTGCCTGCCTATAATTCCTGCCACTTGAGAGGTTGAGGCTCAGGACTCCTGAACTGAAATTTGCTAATCCAATAGTGTGTCTACGTGCAGTAAGGCCAGCTCCAATATGGTGAGCCCCAGTCCCACCCAGAGATGGATATAGGACACCAGGCTGTCTAAGAAGGGAAGAATCTCAGATCAGAAATGGAGCTGGTCGAAGCTTTCATTTGGAGCCTCAGTGAGACAAACAAATAAAAAAAAAACTATAATAATTTGTTTATGTCAGTGAAAGAATCTTTGGAATCCCATGTGAAAATTGAAATTGAACAACAAAACCAGACTCTTTTTTCTAGAATCTGTTACTGAAGCAATACAGGTGGGACTCTACTTCAGATGAGCTGTTTCATCAGCTTGGGTATGCTTTTCACCACTGCCAAGCCCCATCAATGCCTTTATGCATCTCTGGCCAGAAAAAGTCATTATTTGGTAGCTAAATTTCTGTTGATGGGCTGGTGTCTATGGACTTGGCTAGGCTAGTCTTCTGATGATGACACATAGGCTTTCATGAGTCCTAAATTTAAGGTCCTTCCAGCTTGGTGTAAGCTAGATCTCGTGCTCCCTTCTATTGGCCTAGCCTCTTATGACCCAAAGTCACTTCTGTGGCCCAAGAAATATCTGAGGAAGGCTCCTAGGGGTTCAGTTGCCATCTCTATACTGATAAGTCCAAACGTATGTCTAGAGCCTAACTGTGTCTCCTGAACTCTAGGTCTGTATCCCTAGCTGCCCGTTGAACATTTCCAACTGGAGGCCCTGCAGACATCTCAAACTCAACGTGTTCAAAGTAAACCTCCTCTCTCCTTTCAAACCGGGCCCCCCTCTGAGTTTCCCTGTTTGTTGAATGCTGCACCATCACATTCCAGTAACCCAGGTTTGCAATCTTGAGCCGTCCTTGGCTCCTCGCTCTCCCATACCTCGTGTATCCAGTCATTTGCCAACTCTTGTCAGTTCTGTTGACATAGAATCTCTCATATCTGCCCCCTTCACTCACACTGCTGCCACCTTTATTCAGTACCTTGTTATCTGCCCCTGGGGGATGTAAGTGTCTTGAGGCCAGAGTTCATTTCATTCCTATTTTCACTGCCTACCATAGTACTTGGCACATAACAGGCGTTTTAGTAAGTGCTTGTGGATTGATTGACTTTAACCTCGATCAAGAATTCTTAATCAGAAGTCCATGAACTTTAAAAAAATTGATAACAGTATTTCAATGTAATTGCTTGATGTATTTTACTTTAAGCATTAAAAAAAAAAAACCCAAAACATTATTCTGAGGTGTATAGCCTTCACTAGACTGCTAAAGTGGCTCAGAATATGAAAAAATTAAGCATTCCTGGTCTGTGTAAATGATACCTAGAATTTATATAGCACTTTACAAATATTATCTCATTTGATCCTCACAACAACCTGGGGAGGTGGGTGCTATTATTATATCTTCCTCATTTTACAGATAAAGAAACTGAGGCGGACAGTTAAGTGACTTGCCCAGGGTCACACAGCTAGTAAGTATCTGAGACAGAATTTGAATTCAGGTCACAATGGGAATCATTTCTTGATGATTAGAGAAGAAGCAGCTTCAACCTCCTAAGGAACCTGTCTGTTAAGCTTACAGACGAGCCCAACTTCCCAGCTCAACTCCAAAAGTGCCTAGAAGATGTGGCATTAGCCTCTGATTCAGATAGTCCTTTATTGCATAAAGATACAACAGTGTTCCCTTAGTGATGATGGCTTGCTTTTTCAAGGGTAGAAGGACCACAATTAAGAACAAAGCCAAATAAAGAAGACATGAGCTGCTGAGGATAAAAAGGCTGAATTCTCTTCTGACCAATGAAATCATTTCATTGGGAGCTCTCCCTGGTGCTACCAAAATCATGACACCTCTTGTTTGCAAAACTATAACTAGGGTAGAGCGATCAGAGCTTTGTTCCAGGGGGCCAACATCCAGTGGGGGTAGTCCTTCCTTTCAATGAATCTTTATTTTGCCGTCCTTGTATCTTGCATTTCTCTGCTAACTCCTGGGAGTTTTTAGATGGGGGAAAGGTTATTGGCAGTGCTATGGGGGGGGGGAGTAGGGTAGACTCTCCAGAGAATAGGTTCTCTTCCTCATTTGGTTTAATTGCTTTCAGTTAAAGTAGACTGTCCTGGGGACCAATGACATGTTTTTCTTGGGGGATGTCTGTGGCATTCCTCCTGCTCTTTGAGAGGAAGCCTGTGGTCTTTGTTTCCTCTCTCACATCCCAGGATTTCTCCTCCTGTCTCTGTTACACAAAATCTCCCTAGTCCAGTCCCCCCCACACTGCAGTTTACAGATAAGGAAAATGAGGATCACAAAGGTTGAATGACTTGCCCAAGGAAGATCCCACAGCAAGCAGATGACAATCAGGGAAGGGAAGCCAGGTCCTCAAATGGCAAATCCAGAACTCCACTGTTTAATGCTGCCATGTTTAAAATTGATCATAAATATCTCTGAAGGGCCTCTTTTCTTCTTTTTTTTCTTTCCTTTTTTTTTTTTTAAAGGCAATTGGGGTTAAGCGACTTGCCCAGGGTCACACAACTAGTAAATGTTAAGTGTTTGGTCTGAGACTGGTTTTGAACTCAGGTCCTCCTGACTTCAGGGCTGGTGCTCTATCCACTGTGCGACCAAGCTGCCCCAAGGGCTTCTTTTCAAAAGAGGTCTTCACCTTGTCTGTTGTGTGTTAAACAGCAAAAAATGAATTAGGCTAAGGCAAGATAGGTCATGGCTAGTTTCACTCAATTAAATTCTTTTTCTGAGCAGAGAAGAAAAGTATTGCTTGGGTTGTTTTCAACAGGATATCAACCCCAGAGAAAAACACTTTGGTCTTAGAGCATAATGTACCTTCAGAATGCCCCATGCAGAAAGGAGCAGTAATTTCTTTCCATATTACCTGGGGAGGAAACGTTCCTTTTCTCTACTATCCCTTCATCAACTTGAAAAAAGATAAAATATTCAAGTTAAGGCATATTAAATATCCTGTATTTGTGAGGGCAGCTAGGGTGGTGCAGTGGGTAGAGTGCTGGGCCTGGAGTCAAGAAGACTCATCTTCCTGAGTTCAAATCCAGCCTCAGATACTTACTAGCTGTGTGACCCTGGGCAAGTCACTTAGCCCTCTTTGCCTCAGTTTCCTCATCTGTAAAATGAGCTGGAGAAGGAAATGGCAATCCACTCTAGTATCTTTGCCAAGAGAACCCCAAATGGGGGAATGAAGAAACAGACATGAATGAACAACTACTACTGCTACTATGTTTGTGAAATTACCAAATTCTTTAATAAGCTTCTTGCAAAACTAGTGGTACTGGCCTGGGAACCCCTACCTTAAGTAGAGGAAAGGAGCCTCCTTCCTCTAGAATCCAAAATCTGGTGATTCTAGAGGAGGATATCTCGATTAACCTCCTGTTCTTTTTGTGTCATGGATTCTGCCATCTTGGGAGAGACGGCTGAGTTTGAAGATCTTGTTTGAGTTTTCCTCTTGCCTTTGTGTGTGTGTGTGTGTGTGTGTGTGTGTGTCTTCTAGCCACTCATCATTACTTGAATGTGAATTTTTTTCCCCTTAAATCTATGGAACTGAATTTTTGGAGAGGGTTGCTTTGGATACATCAGAAAGTTGCAGTATGGAACAATTACAAAACCTAGGGTCTGTGAGAGGCTTGCACAATGTTACACATCTGTCATTAAGCATTGTCTTTCTATGCACATCTGGACTGAATTATAGTTGGCATTTCTGAGCCTTCTAGAGAATTCTGCCTTGCTCAAACGGCATATGCTATCAAAAGGGGTTGGGAGTGAGGGTGGGAGGTAGGGTTGGAGGAGATACTAATCACTTCGAGGTATAATTACTTTCTGTCCTATTTTCTTTATGCCTCCAGGGCCAGCCAAAGCTCTAACTCCTTCTGGAAGGCTTGACCACCACAGCCCACAGAGTGCCCTTCTGGAATCCTCCTAACTCCTGCAGCTGTTAGTGTCTGTACCTCTCACTTGGCACTTAGCATTAAATGCCTTTTGTGTATTGTTTAAGTTTTCCTATGCGTATTTGTTCATTCAGCAAATGTTTATTGCTCACGTTTTACGTGCAGAACCCTGTGCAAGGTGATGGGGGACCCAAATCCATGGACATAGAGATGGCCCTCAAGAAGCTTATATATCACTAAGAGATACAACACAAAATGTATTTAGAGTTGGAAGGAAATTTAAAGGTCATTTAGCCCAACCCCCTTATTTTACAGATGAGGGAATTCTAGACAAATGGAGCATCTTGTCCATGGTCACCAAGGTCCTCTTACTCTAGATTTACTTCTTTTTCTACTATAGCACAAGTATACCAGTAGTCAGCAAATGTTTACTAAGTGTCTATTATTTCCAGACCCAGTTGTAGGCACTAGGCACACCAGGACAAAAAACAAATAGTTTCTGCCCTCAAGGAAAGTTCATTCAGTCAGAGGAAATTCGTGTACACATATATGTAAATACATAATAATTTGAAGAGGAAAAGACCACTAACACTTGGGGGAGGGAATGAGGAAGGCTTAATTAATTATTAATTAATAGAGTAGGTAGCCCCTGAGTTGAATCTTGAAAAAAAGATAAGAATTCTGAGAAATATAGGTTAGGCTCATGATCTAGAAATTGGGATAATTATTGTTAAGGCATGGAACAAAGGGATGCAATGTTGAACTTGGCAAACAGCTAATAGTACAGTGTTTCTGGAAAACAGAGTTCTTAAAGGACAGTATTATGGAATAAGGCTAGAAAGAAGGGTAGGAACCAGATTATCTGGGAACCTTAAATACCTGGATAAGGAAATTTTTAATTTGTCTTACTCTCTGAAGGTTTTTGAGCAAATAAGTGATGTTGTCAGACCTTGATTATTTTGGCAACTATTCAGAGAATAGATTAGAGAGGAGAGAGACTGGAGGCAGTGGAGACCTGTTAGGAGGCTACTGTAATAGGTCCTGGTGAAGAGAGGTGATAACAGTAGTGTGAGTGGAGTAAAGAGGACACATTCAAGGGATGTTGGGAAGATAGGATCAGCAGGTCTTGGCAATTAATTGGATTTGGAAGGGAAGGAAAAGAGAATAGGGTAGATTGACTGCAAGGTTACATGCCTGGTCCTGGGAGGATACAGATCTCACCAGAAACTGTGAGGTCTGGAAGGAAGTGTAGGAGTTCCGTTTTGGACATGTTGAGTTTGAGACAGTGGCAGATCAATGGAGCTTGAGGTGGGGAAATGTAGTGCAAAAGAGAGATTAAGGCTGGGAGTCATCTGTGCTGAGATGATAATTGAATGCATGGGAATGGATCCGATGACTAAGGAAGAGAGAATGCATAGGGAGAGGAGAAGAAAGTCAACCTAATTAACTCAGTAGGCTGCCTGTCTTATTGGATATACATAGTATGGACAATATATCTTTTTATCCACTTTTTTCCCCCTAGAGTGAGTTAGTTTTCCCTGGAGTTAGTTCTGTCTTCTTCAGATAACTATGGGTTTCACTGAGAGTACTTTGTAGTGTTCTTGATGTCAAAACAGTTAGGACAAAAGTAACTGTGAATAGGAGCATTAGGAGAACCTTACTGTCTAAAGGAAATACTTTTGCTTGGATTCTATGTAGGATATTCTCCATGAGATTTAGAGATGCATATATCTTCCTGACTTAAATCTCATTTAAAACATTAGTTCTGAGTAAATATATCCACATAATTATATTTGTCAGGAAACATTGGATAATATTAACATACACATAGGAAACACCTTGTTTAAGGAGACCTTTTCACCCTGGATTTTGTTTTGCTGAGGCAATAGTCCATTGTACTTCTTTTTATATATTTGAATAATAAACCAGACATTTCTATAGTTTTCTACAGTTTACAAAGTACTTTTCCTTATGCTACTCTGGTAAGGGTAGATAATACAACCTCAGTTGCCTCATCTAAAGAAACACATCTGGTAGGTGTTATTGCTGAGATTTGAACCTGGGTCTTCTGTTCATTCAACTTCTGATTTTGGGGGGAGCAAATTGATGGAGAAAAGGAGCTAGAGAAGGACTTGAGGGATGAGAAGGACTCAGGCAATATATATATTCATTTATATTCTAATTCAGAAGAAATTTTTCAGTTATAAATGATACAATTTGTTCAGTTCTATATTTTCCCCTTTTTATTTTTCTGTTAGATTTTTTTCTAGTTCTGAAATAATCACATTAAAGTCTCCTACAAATACCGTGCTGCTATGTTGGGTTTTTTTTTTTAATTCAGTAAGCTTTTCTTTTATGAATTTAGTTGCCATGCCATTTGGTACACATATTTTTAGTGTTTACAGCAGTCTATAATTTGTATTTCCTTTAAGCATAATATAGTTTCCCTGTTTATCTCTACTGATATTTTGAATTCTATTTATGCTTTAGCTGATAGCAGGATTGTGACACTTTTTCTGGGTTCACTTGATAAGTAGTAAATTTTGTTCTATTCTGTACGTGCCTGTTTTTTGGATGTGATTTATATATATTACAGAATAAGACATTATTGGGTTTTGTCTGTCACTGTCTTTTGGTTTACTGAATTGTTTAATCCATTCACATTTAAATTTATGGTTGTCAGCCTTGTGGCTTTTTTCCTATTTATTTTATATTGATTTAAAAAATCTTTTAAAGCAGCACTTTGTCCCTGTGATTATTTTGACACTAGTCTATTCCCACAGCATCTCCTCCTTTCCCTCCTGCTTTCTTGATCTGTCACAAGGCCTTTGAATTTATGTAAATTGTTCATTTATCTTTCTCTCGTTTATTTAGTTATTACTCTCTTTTTTTGACCTATCTCTTTCCCTACTCCATTAGGCTAATAGTTAAAAACTTTTCCTCTCCTCTCCTCCAGCTTCTTATTTTTAGTAACTTAATTTTACTGGGCCTATTTCCAAATAAAAAAAAATCCTTTTGCTTTGACTTTATTTATTTCTCTTTCCTTCTGGTTTATTCTGAATTTCATTTTTCATAATTGAGCAGAGATGGTAGAAAGAGTAGGGCTGAGGAATGAGAAGGACTTAGGTAATATGTATATTAGTTATTTCTTTTTTATTTTTACTTTCTTGTTTGTTTCTTTATTCTCTCAGCGTTCCTCATGGAAACAACTGAAGAAAGTAGAAAGAAGGGCAGGTAATGGAGGATGAATAAAAAAGTAATGGTGCAAACCTATGAGAATGCTGTCAGGCTGAGCTGAGGTTGGAGAAAAGCTAAGAACAGCTATGATGATAATTTATAGATAAATTGGGTATTAGAAAAGGATCAAAGAATAGACAGAGAGGAACAGTGTTTGTGATGGTTGCAGTGATGCTAACAGGAGAGAGAAGGTGAAGTTCCTTGATCATGCCTTTGATTCTGTTTTGCCTTCCAAGGAATGTAATTTAGGTTAGAGAGGACAGAACAAAAATGGCTTAAAAAGGAGTTGAATACCTAACATAACTAGGAGTAGAGTGAGAATACTAACAATGATGAGTTCAAGTCACTAGACCCCAGATGAACTCCATTCTTGGGTACTGAAAAAACTAGACCAGGGATTCTTACCCTTTTGTGGTGTCATGGACTCCTTTTGGGACAGTCCAGTGAACACTTTGAACAAATTCTGAAAACATTCTTCTAAAAATTGTTTTTAAATGCATAGAACAGAATATATAGGATTCCCAAAAATATCCCAATTATATTGAAATACTAGCCAAAATAAAAAAAAAAAACAACACCAAGTTCATGAATGCTGAGTTAAGAATCCCTTAGAGGATTTATTACTAAGCATCTGTTATTGATTCTGGAAATATTGTTGAAAATAGTATAGTGCTGGAGAAGAGCAGATAGTGTCCTGATTTGCTCCCAAAGTGAAGGGAGGAGAGTCTGCATAAGTCAATGAACTTGTCTTTGATTCCTTATAAAATTCTAGAATGCTTCTTTAAAGAGCATCCCCAGGTTAGTGGAAAGGACACAGTGATTACTGGTGTCAACCAGAAAGATCAAGTCAGCCTGACCTCATTTTTTTCCTAATAGATCTACTATGATTGGCAGATCAGGAGAAGTCCATGTGTGTTTTTAAGGTCTAGGCTGTACATAAATTTTAACAAAGCTTTTGGTGAAATTTCTCAAACTTTTCCTTTGGAAAATATGGAGAGAGAGAGAGAGCTGGATGATCATAGAGTGAGGTGAGTTGAAAACTGATTGGAGAACTAGATACAGAGTGTCTCTTAATTATTTGATTTAACTTGGAAGGAACAGTCCAATGGAGGCAAATTTAGACTTAATATAAGGAGTTTCTCTGACCATTAGAAATGTGGAATGGGTTAGCTCAATAGGTAAAGTTCCTGGTATCTTGATGCCTTCCAGTGAAGGCTGAATAACCCCTTCATGTGTGTTGGCAAGGGTGTTCTTGTGGATTGGGACTTGGTGGCCTCTGAGGTCCCTTCCACCTTTAAGACTTATGGTTCCCAGTTTTATTCCTCTTTCAATTTAGCCACCTGGACCCCCATAGCTTCTCAATCAACTGCTGAGAAATTTATTTTTTCAAACACTGCGTTCCTTTTGTGTATTAATAGGTTAAGATACATTTAAAGTATTTGATTTCATTTAAATAACATAATTAGAGGCTGAGCCAAGATGGCAGAGTGAAAGCAGTGACTTGCTTGAGCTCTCCCCCAAACCCCTCCAAATACTCATAAAAAATGGCTCTAAACAAATTCTGAAGCAGCAGAATCCACAAAAAGACGGAGTGAAACAAATTTCCAGCCCAAGACAACCTGGATGATTGATCAGAAAGGTGTATCGCGCCGGGCTGGGAGTGCAGCGTGGGCGCACAGGCCGCAGCAAACCTGGAGCAGGCCTCAGAGGACTGAATCACGGGCAACTGTGGAGGTTTCCAGACTCCTCAATCCACGAATGCCAAAGACAACTTAGAAGGTCAGTGTCTGTTTCTGTTGGTGGTCAGA